CAAAAAACCACCCAAGTCGCCCCCCCCTCCCCCAGCCCACAAGCAGGCGCGTGGTTTAAGCTCCGAAGGGTCAGCGAGGCCTGCTGGGGTCCAAGGGGCCTGGGCCGTCCTGAGGGGAGACATCGTCTGGGCCTGGGCCTGGGCCTGGGCCTGGGCCTGGGCCTGAGCCTGAGCCTGGGCCTGGGCCTGAGCCTGGGCCTGGGCCTAAGCCTGAGCCTGAGCCTGAGCACGGGAGCTCTTCGGGATTCCCCGTCACCGGAGGTACGGTGATCCCTGAGCTGTGGTGTTGCTAAATAAGCCCGCAGCAGCATCTGTCCCTGCTAGCTGGGGTACCCGGGCCCCGTCTACAAAGAGTCTGAACGCTGCGTTGATAGCGACGTAGTTTTGTTTTAGTCTGGGTTAATCGTGCCAGGATGAGTGGGGACGGGCGCGTAGCTTTAAAGCGTGTTCTCTCTCCTGTACTGCTGTTAATTGGTCTGACAAGCGCACTTTTGTAACTACCTGCATTAGAAGGTTATGGCTGTTTTCACCATCCAGGTACCGGTGTTCCTGGATGCAATATCTGAAAGATATATATCACAGGTTGTCAAGGAACCAAGAAAATGTGAGGCTGTTTTAGATTTGTTGTTTTATTCGTGGAAATAGTGAGTTTCTAGAGGAAATCAGAATTTGGATTAAGTTCAGTTTAAGCTGGTAACTAAAGTACGTGGCTGTGCTTCTCACTTCCAGAGAGTGTATTTTTAGAAAGGAAGGCTACCTGATGAAGATTGAAGATCCTGGTCAAGTTAGGCAAGGGACGATGGCCTAGAACTTGGGACAAAGCGGGGGACAAGTTACTGTAGGGAAGACAAATAGCAGTGGAAGGAGCAAAACCAGGTGGAGTCTTGTCCATACTGCTTGTTGAGAATGATCCCTATCCAGAAAACTGTGGGCCCAAGGGCTTTGTCGTGGAGAGAGCTATTCAGAGTCATCCGCAACAGAGCAAGGGAATGAGCTAGGAGGAAAGCAGCGTGGACAGCCAGGAGTCCAGTCCTCAAGCACAATTCTGGGCCTATTTTTATTTAATTGTGTAGGTGAACATTGATTGTCTACCATGTTCTTGACCATGACAACAATGCCTAAAGCTTCAGTTTTCCACTGAAGAAAGGGAACTTATCAGTGTCCAGTATGACAGTTTTTTTTCCCCTCTGCATTGGCAGACACGTTTCTAATAAGAGGAATAGCTCAGAGAATAATTAAATGGCTTGCAACTCCTTCAGCGTTTCTACCAAATGCGCCTGTCCTTCTGGTTGCAGGATTTTTTTTTCTCTAGCATATAGAGACAGGGTGCAGGGGTTAGGTCCTTCTCACGGTAAACCCTTTCTGGCTATATTTTAAGTTATGCTTCTGATGTGGCTGAGCAAAGGTTGTAATCAGCATGGTGCCTTAAAACCCAAGAGGCGAAATTAGAACCGAGTATAGATTTTAAATAAATAAACCTTAGTTGAAAGATGAACTAGCCTATAAACAGCTTTCCTTTTCTTACTTCAAAGCATGACCCATCATCGTAATTCTCACAGACTAATGAATCGCTCAGTTGGAGTTGAAAGAGCAAAAATGTTCTCAGTGTTTAGGGCTTTTAAGGGCTGCCTCTAGAAGTCTAAAAATGTTTTGAAGTTTTGTGGGCTTTTTTCTCTTTGCAGGAACAGATGTCGTCATTGTCAAAAATGGCAGAAGAATATGTGGCACGGGAGGCTGCTTAGCCAATGCACCTTTGCATCAGAACAAGAGCTATTTTGAGTTTAAAATCCAGTCCACAGGTTAGTCAGCAAAAATGTATGATTTTAAGTTGGAAAGATTGTCTGCTGGTAGTTGTATCTCAAATACTGAGCACATGCGTCGTTCTTATTGCATCCTTGAACTTTGTGATCATCAGAGAGTTTGTCACTGTTGTCATTGCGTAAAAGGAAATTTCAGGTTTTTGAAACTGGCTCTGACTTGTTAAAAAGGATGGTAAGTCTATTTACTGAAGAGGTGCAAGTACTAAAACACCATACTATTTTGTGTGCTGTTATCGTTATGCTTTTCAGTTAATATATTTTAGTCTTTTTTTAACTAGTGCAGTTTATCCAGCAATATCTGTAGTTCTTTGTCTACCTTTATTTGCTTTTAACATGCACTGTGGGCAAACACTTGTGCCATGTTTTGCTCTTCAACTGAGGGCGCAGCGCTTACTCAGATGCTGCCTTATCAAGAAGGAGCCTTTCAGCACACTGTTTATTTGTTCGGTTTGTGCAGGTTTGTGATGGAAGGCAGCAGGAAGTGAAAGAGATTTGGAAACGTCATGCTTTTACTAATACAGCCATCTTCACTACTACAGAGTGCACTCCAGACTTGTCTGTATTCTAATATTAAGCATGTATTTTTATAAACAGCAAACACCTATAAAAATGAAACTGTTCTTCCTCTAAGCCTATCAGGGGACAGAAGAAGAAGGGAGTGTTAGTCTAAAGATGTCTCGTTGGGCATTAGAATATTAGCTGGAGCTAACATCGTGCTTTTTGGGTGACGGTTGTCTACATTCAGTTGGATGGGAGTGCAGGCAGCATGAGGACAAATCTGTCCAAAACACCTTGCAGTCGGTTTGACTGACTGTTACTAAGTTTTAGACTACATGTAAACCCCAACACAGTCTTGGCAATTTTAATATCCTTTCTATTAGGGCAGAATCTGCTGCAGCTGTTTTTCACCCATGGTCGTTACTCACACAAATACAGTATCCATGTTCTTATACTTTAGTTTAGAAACACAGGAAGTAAACTCTGTGGTCCTTATGAGCCCTGTCCTGTCCATTCCTGTGCCCCAAGGCAGGAAAATTGTAGACCGCTTAGCATTAAGTTTGACTCATAGAAGTGTCCCTGGGCAATCTGCTTGGGCTCATCTAGCCTGACAATTAGAGAGTTTTTTCTAAGTCACATCTAAATCTTTTTTCACGCTCTGATCCTCTTCACTGTGGACATGTAAGCATTAGAATAAATTGTTGTGTGATTCTGTCTTCTGAAACTCATTTCCGTATATTTTTGCCTCTTTTTTTAGTCTTCTGCAGATTAAACAGTCCCGGTTCTTTCATTACCTCCTCATAGATCATGTTTTCTAGACTTTTAATCGTTTTTGCTGTTTCTTCCACAGTTTTTCTAATTGATCTAATTTGACTTGAGGTGCGATGCTTAACATGGATGCTCTGCTCCAACTGCAGCAGCAGTAGAATACAAGTCCTTCATCTACTGCACATTCAGTGTATCTGATCTATACATGCCATACATCCAGGATTCTTTCACAACAGTAGAACATAGACTTGTGGCTCCTTTCAGCTTGTGGTCTGCAATAAACTCCAGATTATATTCTGTGAACTGGTTACCAAGCCGGTGTTGTATTTGTGCTGTTTATTATTCCCGCTTACCTGCAGTTCTTTGCAATTGAGTGAAAGCAACTGCATACTCCTTATTTCAGACCTTAAAATCAATTCGTCAGCATCATATAAAACCTGAATAACCTTTGAAGAGTTTGCGGTCCCGTCAGGTTGGTATTGGCAACATGTTTAATAAGCACACTGTCACGTTGTCCAAGTCATTAATCTAAAGACGGCACAGTATCTGACCTTGGACATGTAATACAAAGCCTCAAACCCCACTTGAGTCATCCTTTTGATGTGACAAAGTGCTATTGATAAGTAGTCTTGAAATGCAGTTTTCTACCCAATTGCGCATTCACATTGCGGTAGCTTCATCTAGACCATATTTTCCTAATTTGAGCATTTGAATGTCGCATGAGGTTCAAAAACATTACCACATCAAGATACGTCATATTTACCATTTCTCCTTTATCCCTAGAGTTAGTCTAGCTAGCTGAAAAGGGAAATTATGTTGTTTTGACTTGATTTGTTGTTGACAAATCCATGCTAGCTGGATTTAATTTTTACCTCCTTTTAGTTTAACACAGAGAGTTTGTTTCCAGTATTTTTCTGGGAAGAAAAGTTAAACTAAGTGGTTTAGAATTCTCTGGATCCTTCCTTTTTCAAGACACGCACTGTCTCTTCAGTCTTTTGTGACTCATGGTATTTCCAATAGAACTTAACTGGTAAGATCTGCACGGCACTTGTTTAAAAACACGTTCTTTATGCTGTCCTGCTGCAAATGATCTTCAAAAGAATAACTTTTTTTTTCTCATCATGTTGACGTTCTGTTTTAGGGATTTGGGGTATTGGAGTTGCAACTCAAAAAGCAAACTTGAATCAAATTCCTCTTGGTCGAGATGTCCATAGTCTGGTGATGAGGAATGATGGAGCTCTCTACTATAACAACGAGGAGAAAAATAGACTGCCAGCAAACAACCTTCCTCAGGAGGGCGATGTGGTGGTGAGTTGCTTAAGGATTCTTTATCTTCAGCAGCTGTTCCTCGAACTTTTGTGATTTGCAGCTATGTGGTCAGATCGATCATTTCAGTTGAGTTATTGTTTGGCTTGCATTGCTCAGTTTGGGAAGTGGTGATATAAACTCTGGTTACGTTTGAATGGATCAGCAGTCTGGTTTTCAGTGGGCTTTCTTCTCAGCATTGATATGTTTCTAAAGGGGACAGACTTTACCAGTGTTGGAAAAGTAGCTTCTAATGCTCTGTTGCAGTCTGATTGCTGTGTCTACCCAACCGATAACTCCCATCACAAGGAGCCCACATTGTTTGAGGTGGGACTTTCCTGAATAAATAATATGTTAGAATGTGTTAATAGCTATGTAACATGCCCAGCTGAACTTAATATCCTATAGCTAACTGATTAATAGTTAGAAGGACAGAGCTGAGCAGAGAGAGTTCCTAGGTGACAGATGAATTGTATTTTTGGCCAAGGCCTTATAGGGAAGGAGAGCAAGATTAAACAGGGATGGGGAGGATGATTCTTACTCAGTAGATGCTCGAAGAATGAGAGCAAAAAGAGAAGTGTTTTGTGCCTTGCTGTTTGTAGTTTCTCAAAATGTTTTAAAATGACTCTGTGTTCAAAGTGTCTTGTTTAATTGCTGCCATTTTCTCAATGTTAGAGATTAATTTTTAACAATACATTGGAGCAATGAAATTTAAATCATTTCTCACCACCAGTTTTTCTTGTTAGATAATCTTGCCTCCATATAGCAATGTTTAAAAATTTAATTTCTGGATTACAGAGCCCCAGACAGCTAACGTTGACTCCTCCACCCTTTACCGTCAGACACTGCATTATTCTTTTAATCCCCTTCTGAAATTGTTTTCCTGGAGGGTTGCAGGCTCTTTTAGGATTTGGTCAGCCCATTTAGTCTGAATAGCTTAAATTGAACAAAAAAAGTAGCAGCTGTCTTACTTTGCGAACTCTGCAGTTTTCTTGAATTTCCTTTTATTGTGTTCTCTCATGGAAATAGATTTCTGAAGTAGTGAATAGCAACACAAATTGTCACACTCAGCCATACCAGCAGCAGTCAGAAAAATCATTTAGCTAACAAATAATTTATTACCTTGCTAGTGTTTGCTTTCTGCTCTGTAATCCGCATGTTTATAGTTCCGTGTATCAAACTGTGGTCTGTTACTGCTGGCAGAGAAAATGAGCTCAGGGAGGTTTTCGTAGGGAGGGATGAACAGATAAACTGAATTCATAACATCATTAAAATTGTTTCCATAGGAAAATATAAACAGACAGACTGCAAAGCTGCTTAATATTCAAAATCATTGGAAATTTTGTGATTCTTTAACATGGTGAAAAATAATCTGGGAATTTGCTTTGTAAACTGTCCTTGGATACGATATGCAATACTGTACTGCGTCCCAGCTGAATGAGCATTAAGGAATCCTGAGTATTTGAAAATAAAAATGTTATCATTGATTAACGTCTAGCTCTTTGCAAGAATATTTTAAGACAGTTTTTCTGTCATGCTGTGGTTTGCATAATAGTGTTAAATTAACCTGCCTGTGGGTAAGAAAGCTGGAATACGTAGCAGTTTTCATTGTATAAACATGTTGATTTTTTTTTTTTTCTGTTAATGTTCTCAACTTTGTAGGGCATTACATATGATCATGTAGAATTAAATGTGTATTTAAATGGGAAGAACATGCATTGTCCAGCTTCAGGAATCAGAGGGACTGTCTATCCAGTGGTATATGGTAAGTCAAAGATTTGCAAACCCTTTCACAGTATACACAGCATCTTTGTACTAAGTCTGTCTCCTGAGCTATGTATTCTTCTTCTTACTTACATGAAACACACATTTTTCCAGTTACGATCAATCACTAATTTATGCATCTGCAACTATTAATTGTGTGGATATATGGAATTAGGAAAACACAGTAGTATGTTTTCACGTCATTTTTAATGATGCTTAATAGTTAGAAACAAGGGCACTGCTTACTGACTGGTTACAAAATAACTACATCCAACAAGCTGCCGAACTTCCTAGAGTCCAAAAATTCATGAAGTGGGAAAAAAAGAAAGAACAGAAATCCACCCTGGTGTAGACAAGTGGGCTAATCCAGCTTCTCTCTGAAGCTCGATATTTATGTCTGTTAATTTCACATACTTTATAAACAACTTTGATGTCAGATATTGGTAGATTGTGAATTGCTGTTTGAATTTTCTTTTGAATGTAATAACTTTCATGTAGTAGTAGTACAGCTGCTTGCTGTATAGTAGTGCAACTTATTGCTCCTATTACACATTGATAGCCAGTTCTGAAATCCAGCAATCGGTGAGTGAATTGCGGTAGCTGTTATGCCAGCAATCGTCAGTATGACACAAGAGTTTTGAACAAGAAACAAATACCATATGCAATTAATCTCAGCATAGGCAGTTTAAGAAAGAATTTATGAATTATGGAAGTTGGAATTTGGCCAAGACATATGTTAACAATTTACTCTTCTTTAGCTTGGCGGTGTTTTTGTAGTTCCCAAGTAGTCTGAATACTGTTTAACATCTCATCTGAGAGACAGTACTTCCCCTTGCTTTGTGCGTAATCACACTAAACTCTGGGTTGGCTTGTGACTTATGGAAAATGATAACTGCTCGTTGAATTCCCTGTATTACACCTACAGCCATCTCCAGATTATCTTTATTCCTTCCTTGGCTTTGTGTAAGGACTGTCCTCTTCGAGACTTGCTTAGCTCTTGAGATGTCGTTGCGCTACATGTCGTGGATGATTATTTCATTTCATGATTGCTAATGAACTGTTGGCATGTTCCCGTTTATGTCTTGACACATTTTTAATGTTACAGTTCATGAACAGGAAGCAAATACTCTAGATGTGCTGTGGTGCCTCTGAAGTGTATAAATTCCTCTGACAGCTTGCCTCCTCCCAAGCTATTAAGAGTGAAAATTGTTCCATATTGTAATTCTATGATCTGTTCTGTATTGTCGTTTTGTGATCTGTTCTTGTACCGCATGATGGCGCTGCTAAAATGCAGTGGCAAATAGTGGCAGGCCTGCAGCACTGTTGTTTCTCCTTGTGTCAAAAATTCAGCGAGCTGGGGGAGAACAGATGCTGTGTGGTAGTTGATCTTTGCATCTTCCCTTTATTTTGGAAATGGTGTCACATGGTGTAGAGAATGCAGGTTGCTCTCAGAAAATATTTGGTGGCATTTTAGCCTATTGCAAATCCTTGTTTGCTCAGACTATAGGAGTCATGTGCCTGGAGAATGCAGTGACCTTTTATTGCCACTCTTATCATCTTCTTTCACAAGTGGGCATAATTTCATAATAATTTTCATATTTCCTATGTATTACTGTAACAATTGAAGCCTGCATTTGCATGGCACTTACTTGGTACGAATTTTAAATATAAATGTCCTTACTTTAATGTTGCTGCTTCTAGTCATGTGAAAGTATTTGAACATGGAGAAGAGAGTTTCCCAAGCATCAGTTCAATCCATAATTCAGACCAGAGCTATAGGTATCTTTTAGAAGAAACACGAATGAGTAAACGAACAAGGTATCGAGCCTGAAAATGTGGAACGGAAAAGTGAATTTGCAGGTTGCTTGTGCATAAGTGAGATGCAAGGTTAACACCACCACAGAAGTGGTGCAGAACTGTGCAAGTGCACTACCAGGAGTTTTAACTGAGCCTGGGAAGGAAAAATTCCTATCTTGGCTCTGAGATATCTAAATTCCAAACCAAAATGTGGAGATGAAGCTTTTCTATTTTGATCTAATGTTCCTATCGTATCAGTTTAGGTCTTGGAAGATCTTAGAAGGCAATGTCTTTGAAAGAGATTGTTATTTTTTGACTGGTTAGGTATTTCAGTTTGCTAAGGCAACGCTTGAAAGCATTGCTGTGAAAATCCTCAGCAGTTTTATTTTAATCTTCTACATTGAAGGCTATAACACTTTTGTTTCAGCTGATGCAGAGGGTCCAAAAATGGGAGAGGTGCTGTTTTTAAAACACTTTTAAAAACACTTTAAAAAGCAGTGAAGAGAACTCTCTTGGTATCACAGTCTAAAACAGATGACCTGACATCTGTAGCTATTGCAGACAGCTAAAACCCTGTAAGCCTGCAGCAAAATTAGGAAATAGACAAAAATATGCAGCTGAGGAGGTACAACCCTGCAATGTTTATCTAGTAGCGTCCTTGATTTGTCGATTTCGAGAGAAATAGAGTAGAAAATTTAGGAAGAATTGTCTGAAGCCATGCTCGCACACTCAGTGAAATCAGAGTAAACATTCTCAACGACTTCATCGGGGACCATTATAGACAAAAGTAAATAGCGGAAAAGAGTGATCTGCTCTTCTTGGGTATGTGTGTAGGGATTTAGCTAGTTTCCTAAAGAGATTTTTTTTTTTTTATTGTGTAAATGTAATTGATGTATTAGAGAACATTCTTCATGATTTGAGCATAGTATTTTGACGTATATAATCTAGTAAGGTAGTGTCATAGAGGATCAAAGTGTAAGTGTTCCGTCTCTAATTCCTTCTGTTTGGTTGTCTTCTGCAGTTGATGACAGTGCCATTCTGGATTGCCAGTTCAGCGAATTTTATCATACACCTCCACCAGGGTTTGAAAAGATCCTCTTTGAGCAGCAGATCTTCTGAAGATCTTCATACTGAAAAATTGCACCCTGCACTGTTACAGAGCTTTGTCGTCTTAAATAAAGCTTCACGTTACCTTTAGGAAACATACCTGTATTTTTAGTAAGTACTGTTGTCTGCAGAACGAATGCATTAACTGCAACACCAGATGACTGTGTTGTAAAAGGCTAGGTTTCTGACAGTGTTTTGTGGATGAAAATCATTTATTCAGGGCAGGGTTTGTTTTTTTTTTCTGATTTGTACTTGGTGCATAAGGAAACCAAGGGATATTGTTGACATCAGTATTAAATTCGGTATTTTGAATCAATTTGAGCCCTGTAAAGCAAATAGTTCTTATGCACATGATAGCTATGGAGATTGATATTTCTTAGGATTTTTCCTGATTTTTCCACACAGAAGTTATGTACCTTGTTAAAAGGAAGCACTGTGTTTCTAGTCTGTGATTTGGAATTGCGGTGTCCTGGTTGTGCTCAATGACTAGTAATACGATGGCATAACTGGCAGCTAGATTTTTTTTTTTCTTTTGCAAGGTGTAATTTATCCATTTCCTCGATCTTAACATGGCAAATATAACTTAGCATTTCTCCTAGCTTTTCATTTGCTTTGACTGTGACAAATAATATGACGCTGTTTAGTAATTGTTCAAATGTTATTTTGCTGAACCTTAAAAAGTAAACCTGAGCGCTAGCTATATTTTTGAGGACCATCATGCTGTGTTACTCTGGTAGCAGAGTAAGTACAGATTGCTCAACTTGGGTATGCCAAGAGACAAAGTGAAGGGTATGAGATGTTATGTGAAGCCTTACATATAAACTGTAAATCAGATTATTCTTTTATGAAATATCTTATTTAATTTCTTTATGAATCATTTATAAATGATTAATGGCTAAGACATTGTTCTAAAATGTGATGCCCATAAATATAAATTATTCTCCTCTTGTCGTGTATTTAATATACTTCCTAGAAGAATTTTTATTGTAAAGAAAATCTTCATACTGGATGTTTGTTTGCGTTTTGGCTGTTCCTGGGTTAGTGCGTTTACATGAATGAATAACTTTATTTAAATATTTTTAGCAATTATCTGAATCTGAAATTTTCAAATATAAACAACTTTCTCTAAGCCTTGCACCTTATGATTTTCTACATCTGTTTTAAGAGTCTTTTCATTCTCAGAGGCCCAAATTTTCTTACCTTTTAGCCTTGCTTTCACACAGCAACATGAAGTAGAACTTTTTAACCCAAAAGGAATGATTCCCTCTTCAGCATTATGATACAAAGATAGGGGAATTTGGAGTGCAGTTCTGTAGTCTTCCCTTGAAATGTGTTCTGCCTGCTGTGGTCAGAGACATCACCTACATTATAGGAAAGATTCATCTTTGAGGTGATGTCACTATACCAGTTGATGCATACCATAATGTTTCTGTAATCAACTTTGTTAGCTCTTTAAACTTTGAATGATTATGTATTCTTTTTATATATGAAGGGAGAGGGAAGGCATGTATCCTCTCTCCTTTCGATATCTTTGAACAATGCCTTGAACAGTGGGTTTTTTTTTGCCTTGAAAGACTACTGAGATGAAAGTGCATCTTACGGAATTAAACTTCTCATGTTCCTAGGGAAGGAGGAAGTATTTAAAGAAATTCTTTTCACTTCATCTAACTGCAAAGAGCAAACAACTTTTTTGGAAGTTTGAGACATTTAAGAATATTTAGCTTGATACAGACTTGGAAGAGAATTCAAATTCTGCTTGAAAATACAGAAAACGCTATCTTCAGAGTTGAAGATTTGAAATGGAAAACATTTTGGTAAACGTAAAATATTCAAAACAACTGTTAAATTGACCAAAAATATGAGAAGAGCCTGCTTTTACAATACAGAAATTTGCTTATTTCTCATTTTAAACAGTGTAAGAATGCCTTTGTCATACTGCAAAGTATAACTATACCTCTTGTTTAAAAAACAAAAAATCCTTCTTTTATCATTGGTGACACAGACAATCTGTATCAAATAATGGAGATGAATAAATGATTATTAACATCTGTTTATGAAAATGGAAAAAGAGCATGTTTTTCACCTGAAAATTAAGTTGTGTGGTGGCATTTCGTAAAAGAAGCAAAGGTACAGTTAATGCCATTTTACAGGTAAGAAAACTGGGCTACAGAAATAGAAAATGAACTAACTTGTGTCTTTCAGCATGTCATTTCAACATCTGGCAATAAAACCTGCATAGTGTGTTCCCGGTCCCAGCTTTGCCGAAAGAAATGAGATGCAATAAATATTTCTAAAATTTGCACTAGAAGGTCATTTTAAGTTAAAGATTTAGCAATATATTTATCAGTAGCAAAGATGTTTTAGTAAGAATGAATCATGCTTCCCAGTGAAATTGTTGAGGTACTTCCACTCATTGTTTGTACCCAAATGTTTTCTTAATCTTTGAATGTTACAATATGGATACCTATCTCATGAGTGCAAAGCTTTATATTTATTAGTACTTATGATTTCTGAATCTTGTGTGATTATACCATGGCAGCAAGATATGAAGTCTGGTTCTGTGCATGCACAAATAAATAGAAGTGACAGGATACATAATGCAGTTTGCATATAGACCGGTAGAGTTATTTTGACAATACTGGAACTCTTTATGGTGCTTTGGGGATAGATGAAGTCAGATAGTACTATGCAGAGGAGTTTAAAATTCTGATTAGAGGCTATAAACGTGGAAATACCTGTCAAGGAGAATTGCCTGAAAAGATGAGGGGTCAAGAGTGAAGTATCAGATTGTATTGGATGATGTTGGTATGGCTTGGATTTGAGAAAACTCTTTGCAATGAATAATTAATTTGGTTACTATAACCCTAATTCTGTGTTAAATATCCATGAATGAGTTGGTTTTTTTTTTTTTTTTTTGATGTACTCTTCATCAAAATAATCGTGCAGGTATACTCTGGCATAGACACTCTGCAAAGAGAACTTGTTTGTGGTGTGCATTGGGTCTCTTAAATTCTACAAAGAGCCATCAGAGATGGCAGTACATGCTATTCAGGTGCAAATTCTCATGTGACTACAGACTTGCATGAGCATTCATGCTATTTTTCCTTTCTGCGGGCTTTCTTGGGAATGGAATGCTGTGCATACAGCTGTGTGCCAAAAAAAAAAAAAAAAGTGAATGGGGTCCTAGTAATTGATGTGAATTTCTTAATCTTATCTGAGTGAGCTCTTCAGATTATTTTTGCAGTACTTCCTCAGCTCTGTTACTAGCTTGTGTTTTGTTGATGTTGCTTTGTATACAGACAACTGATCAAGCTTATGGCTGAGATAAGATTCACAAAGGTCCACAAGTGAATCTCTGAGACATAGATTCCTGTACGTCTTTGTGAATCCAGACCTTAGTAATGAGAGGTCCAAAAATCCAGCTCCCCAAAGATACCTGATGTGGCAAGAGCCTATGTGCCTTTTGGAAAGGGGGTTAACTATTACCTCTTGCTGTAGTGAGGGACTTACTTGATGCATAAATGTGTCAAAAACTGTGCAGCTGAGGTATTTGCAGGAAGCCTGTGACAGAACATTTTGCACAGATCTAAGTTCCCGACTCTTTTCTCGGCCATTCCTTCCCTTACCTAGCTCCACGATAAAGCACTTCTGAGCTTATTGACATCTTGGGTATGGATTTCTACACAAAAGCGCAAGTGGTCAGTGAGAGGCCTCAAATCTAGAGGGGCAGAGCTTTGCTTAATTCTTGAGTGTTTCATGTAAGCTCCGCATTGGGGCCATCTCGTGGAAGGAACCAAAATCCTGGTCGCTTGGATGTTGAATTTTTGCAAGTTGATTATTTGCAGACTCATTTGAACAGTTGGTAGGACCAGTTCCTTCCGGAGCTGGCTTGTTCGAGAGCCTTTTTTTTTTCCCCACTTTTTTTTTCCATGCAGACATTTTAGCTTTCCTTAGACCTTTTTCTTTCCCTTTGTTGGGCCTAAGGAAGGTTAGCTGGTCTGTGCCAAAATGAGTCACCAGAAGAGCTCTTTATCTCTCCATGTGGTCCAAAGTCTGACACTTCCAGGGAAGAGGAATAGGTGCTTTGGCACTGGAATTTCCTTTGCTGTAGTTGGAGAGGATTAGAGACTGAAAGAACATTCTTGTGGGGAGTCCTTCTGCTGAAGTGCCAGCAACTTAGAACGAAGAGAAGTGCATAAATAAATCTAATGTTATTTCCCCCTAATTCCAGAACACGTCAAGGAAAAAGTTGTATTTTTCTGTATATGTATTTAAGTTGTATTGCGTGTGCAGTCTAACTTGGCTTCTATTTTTGCTCGTTGTATTATGCTAAGTTGCATCCATGGAGAACTCTGGCAGATTTACTAGAGAAGACAGTTCCTAGCTTCAAGAAACATGACGACTTGAGTCATATTTCTCATATTTCTTGGATGCACTCATTACATTGGCAAGCAGCACATGTTAAAACCTCCATTGTTGAGAAATCTAAATTCCTTTTTGCCTTAAAATATCTGAGCTTAGTATAAGATGGCTTATGAGTTTTTCATAAGTGAAAAAATACCATGTTGAGTGATGTTTTCAAGATTTTGTGTGGAAAAATGGAGCTCTCTGGGCCAGAGTAAACTTTGGCAAAATAGAGATAAGCTGATGAAAATGGCTCATTTCATGCAACTTGGTAGCCTACTCCAGATATAGTCATCTTTTCCTATCTGTGGGATGGAAATGGTACTTCCCGCTTTGGAGCGATGGCAGGAGAACAAATCTTCTAAGGAGCGTGAAGCAGCTGGGGCCATGTTCAGACTGCTTATATGCTGTGATGCCTGTCACAACTACATCTCCCCATTGTCTGAGAAATCAAGTCGGAGCAGTCTGAATCACTCAGGACTAATTTGCATGTAGTAGTTATAACTCCTAAATTAGGCTCGTAGAGTAGGGGGTGTGAACACACCTTCAGATGTTACAGTAAAAGGAGGGCCCTCTGATTATCTGTATTTTCTGTATCTGTGTCTGTATTTAGCCATAGAAATCTTTAGAAGAGGATTAGACTGCTTGGAGCCTGTTTCCTCGCTTCTCATCTAATTCGTCATCTTTTATCTATCTACTTTAAAGGCCCGTTTTGCCACTAGTATTTAAAAAAAAAAGTAACATGCCAGCCAGTTGTTCATTGCAGATTGGCAATCCCTCAATTCTGGGAGGCCTCATCACCACTTAAAAAGGGACGGTCAACATAATCGTATTGGCTGGCCCCCCTGCGGGAGAGGCATGTCATGCAGCAAAATAATTCTGCTGATGCTGCTTGAATCATTTCCCCAAACAGAGTGAGCTGCAGCGACAGCCACCCTTCTTTGCCAGTGTACCGCCACGTACTACTTAAGCCTTTGCTAGCCAAGCCATGTTGGTTCAGGCGGGGAAACAGACTGCCTGGAGGCTTCTCGGTAATGCAGGCGTGCTGAAAGTTGGTGCCCCAGGGAGAGAAGGCAGAGCTGGACAAAACGTGGACCCTTTTTGCCACGCGGTGAGGGTAGGATGGAAATCCAAAGGATTCTCAGCTGCGTTTGCTGCTCTTGCCCCCAAGGGGTGGGAAGGGAGGAGCGGTGACGGCAAGTGCTGGGAAAGCATCCCTCATCCGCTCTAGCAGGACGGTGGTAGATCTGTATCCTGAATATCACAGGAAAGTCTGAATCAGGTGAACCAGGCCAGCTGTGTCAATGAGCAGAGGGAAGGGCTGAGACCCCTGGCTAACACTGCTGGGAAGCTGGGAGCTTCTGGGCTAGTGATAGTTAAATCTTCAAAACCATTGCTTGTAGCTGTATCACTGCTTGCTGCTGCAATCAGGAGGGTGTTACTCTGCTGAAAACAGTTCAGTTTTACTGAAATAGATCTATCCTTGCTAGAAGTGCTTTACAGGGTAGCACACTGCTATTCCGGTACTGATAGAGCTGTCCTAGCGTGCACA